CAGTTCAGTTGTCTATTAAGGGGGTATCATACAATATTTTCCAGGGAAGCCACCAGGCTTGTTAAAGTAAACTAATATGCAAACAAGGTCCAGGGAAGGATCCCTAAGCAGAACTGGCTAGGTTATGAGTGACCTTAACCTTTAGCTTTGCAAACATGAGCAAAAAAACTTTCATTATAGTTTGTATCTGTCCATACTAAAGAAAAACAGAACCTTAGCTTAATCAGTCAGAAACAGCCAATGAAAGATCATATTAATTAGACATGTCCTAGGGGATAAACCAGATAATGGAACTTTATTGCCAAATATTTATTTATTTATTTATTTATGTGTGTGTGTTGGGGGCGTGTCATTTCATAAGACACAGGAGGAGGTCAGAGGACACTTGCAGGAGTTCTCTTCTTCCACCACATGGGACCCTGGAATTGAACTCAGTTTCCCTTACCTGCTGAGCTAATTAATTCATTGGCCATGTAACCAGAACATTTTTACAGAAACCCATTTTTTATGCTTGGGGAATGGAGTCCCTGAACCCCCCTAGGTTTGGAACTGCTTGATGCATTAATCCCCATTTTCTGAAAAAAAAGTCTTTAAAATTTTGTATCCTGTCTCAGTTTATCTTTTATTTGAGACAGGGTTTCTTTATAGTTTTGGAGGATGTCCTGGCACTTGCTCTGTATATCAGGCTGACCTGGAACTCACAGAAATCCACCTGTCTCTGCCTCTCAATTGCTGGGATCAAAGGCTTGAACCACCAACACCTGGCATCAGCTTACCCTTTTTTTAAAAAGATTTTATTTATTTATTATGTATACAACATTCTGCTTCCTTGTATATCTGCACACCAAAAGAGGGCATCAGATCTCATAACGGATGGTTTTGAGTCCTGGGAATTGAACTCAGGACCTCTGGAAGCAGTCAGTGCTCTTAACCTCTGAGCCATCAGCGGTTAAGCCCCCTAGCTTACCCTTTTAACAGGCAAAGAAAGAAACAAAGTCAAAAGTATCTGGAGGCCCAAGCAAAGCTGCCCATGTGCCTGTGATTGTCTGTACTCTAATTAATGGAGGAACACAGTGTCAGGGGCTGGGTGAGAGTCTGCAATTGGAAGATGAACAGAACAAGCTCTAGGGGTTGTGACACACACCTGTCATCCCAGCTACTTGGGAGGAGGTGGATCAGCTGAGTCCTTGAGTTGAAGGCCAGCCTGGACAATAAGACAGGGTCTAAAAAATGGGGCTGGAGAGATGGCTCAGCCATTTAGAATTGTGCTGCTCTTGCAGAACGCCTGAGTTAGGTTATCAGCACTCCGGTTGGACAGCTCACAGCTACCAACCCAGTCACTCTAGTTCTGGGGACCCAATACCCAGTTCTAGACTCCAAGTGCATCTGCGCTCATAGGTACATAAACACACACACACACACACACACACACACACACACACACACACACACACCTTTTAAAAGATGATAACATTTGCCCTATTTTGATAATCATTTTGCCCAATGATTCAGTGGTTCTCAATCATACAAGGACATTTTAAAAAACAGAAACAAAAAACAAAAAAACAGGGCTTCAGTGTTATACTAGGTTGGGTACCTCTGAAACTTTTTGAATGTGTCTTAGGTACAGGAATTTTTTAAGTGATGTCACAGTGTTGGGTTCTACCAATTAGACAACTTAGCTAATTGTTCTTTGGTTAGTGAAGTTCTGAGGCAATCATTAAGACCCAGCTTGGGTAGATCCATTTTTTTTTGGTTTTTTTTTAGACTTTTTTTTTTATTTTTTGGATTTTCAAGACAGAGTTTCTCTGTGTAGCTTTGGAGCCCAGTCATGGTCTTATATGTATAGACTAAGCTGATCCTGGACTCCTGCTTCTCCTGCCTTTACCTCCAAGTACTGGGGTTCAGGCTTGGGATACACACACACACACACACACACACACACACACACACACACACACACACACACAATTCCTTCCACATTACTGAAAGTTAACATTTCTATGGCCCATCCAGGGCAACTTTGTTTCCAGGTCTATTTAGGAGTCAGGGCTTCAGTTTTTGAAATGAAAAGGCTCTCAAGATGGGATAATGAGATTGTTCAAAATATGTGATTGCATTTTATACAAAGAAAGTGGATGCATTTAATACAAAACAATGTGAGTGCATTTAATAAAGAAAATGTGATTGCATTTAATGCCATTGAAATGTACACTTGAAAGTGGTAGAGTTTATGAAACGTATATCTTATGGGCATGAAAACATTTTAACACATTCAGTAGCTTTTCTAGCAAACTCATGGGTGAAGCTGCTGGTGCTGGCTCAGAGGTCATATACACTGTGTGGCAGGCCCTGACAGTATCAAACCTCCACCACCAGACTCAGATTGAGCTTCAGAATGTATGTAAGGTGATCCACATGGCTGGTCTCTGGATCTTCATAGCAACAGTTCACAGCACCACACCAGGTCTAGGTCAAATGCCAGTCTCACTCACCTGCATTTAGTTCCTTGCTGCTGTCGCCAGTGCTTTGCATGAAAGCCTGGCCATGTCTCTATTTAGGTAAATGGAATGCTATTTGAGGCTCTTTTGCACTCAGTTGCTTCAGTTCTTAGGTTAATCTCCCTGCCAATGCTTCCCACAGCAACTTAGTGCTTCTCTGCCATGTGTGTATATGATCTAGCTAATGACAGGCCCTTCTGGACTTCAGTCAGGAGCTCTGCTTCACTCACTGGATAGTGTTTCCTTTTGGGACAGGTGGTTCCTATTTTAATTTATTTCCTCTTCCTTTGCTTTTTTTTTGGTGGGGGGGGGGAGGGTGTCACTATGTAGCCTTGGCTATCCTGGAATTCTGTATGTAGACAATACTGACCTCAAGCTGCTTGCTTCTTCCTCCAGACTGCTGGGTTTAAAGGTATGTGTGGCTTGTGTTTGCCATCTTTAATGACAGGGAATATTGGAAACTGTTGAGGTGCTGTGTTGGAACACCAGCCTCCTTTGGTTGTCATTGCTACCTATCAGCAAATGCAAGCAGCTGGGAGGTCCCAGCCTTACTGCATGTGAGCTGCACAGTCATGGGATTAAAGCTGTGTGCCACCAAAACCTGGCTGGGGAGAAATCTTAAAGAGTTTTTTGAGAGAGAACCTTTGGGAAGAACATTTTTTGATAATAAAGAGCCATGAGAAACATGGCACGTGTATGAATTGATTCCTTCACCCTCAGATCTTAATAGTCTGCCTCCACCTGCCTGCTGTTAAGTCTCCTGACTGAACCCTCATGAAATCTCTCAAAACAAACCAAATAAAATGTGTGTGGAGACACTTAGCAGAGTGTAATCCAAAGGTGTGGATAGCAAAGTGATCAAAACACATTCTGACAGGACATGAAAAGGACTTAACAGTCAACCAAAAAACACAATTACAGTGCAGATCAGTAAAGAGGACTAGAACGTAGGACACTACTGTCCTGTTTTTGTCACTATCCTAATCACATCTATGGTATTATGTGCCATCCCAAAGTTTTCAGTGGGGAAATGTTGAGAAGACTCCAGCCACAATGAGAATGACTCACTGCAGGAACAACGGGGAGTTTTAGCTGGGAGGTGACTTTAACAGAAGGATCACTGAGGACATGTGAAGACCAGGTTTACTCAGTATAAACTGAGAGTTTGACTTGTATCATCCTTTTAATTTCCTATCAAAATCACCTTTATAGCTGGCTGTCGTGACTCAGTCCTGGAATCCCAAGACTCGGGAGGCAGAGGCAGGAACATCTGTGAGCATTTGAGGCCAGTTTGGATTTCATAGTGAGATACAGGCAAGTGAAAGCTACAAATAAGACTCTGTCTCAAAAATGATTTATTAAAAAACATGCTTAATAGAAATATCCTTTATGATGGGAAAGCTACCCTTATGGCTTTTTCACTGGGAGTGAATGCCCTATACTTAGATGTATTCTGACATATTAATATGGTGGCATGTGGCTGAGGGGTTTGGGGTTCTGGCTTAGGTTTTGCATCTTTCCACAAGTCTGCAGCAAAGTATAGATTCCCCTGCATTTTGGAAAGCTTCCTGGCATGGTGAAGTCAGTGGCATATAAGGCCTATCCAGGTTGAAACCTGAAAGAAACAGGTGTCTCCTACACTGACTCCATTCTCTTTGCCATCTAGGCATGGCCTCATTTCCACCAGTTGTAAAGACAGAGCCTGAAAAACTTCCCAGGGAAGTTTCCAATCCCTTATGAATGGCATGTAGTGACCCTCCATCCCAGAGGGACAGAGGGACTAGTAGACTCTGACCATCATTCACAATTGATGATCCAAGGCTGTTGCTTCTGTTCTCCTCCTGAAACATCGACTCTGTGGAGAGATGGAGAAGGAGTCAAATTACCAGTGTTAGCTTTTTTGCTTCATAATTCTGTGGACCAATATGGAGAGACTTAGAACCTTCACTCCCAAGTGAGAAAATTTTACAATCATAGCCCCGTGGGTTTGTAAGTTTATATCACAATAAAAGAGTCAGGATGTCCTCTCCGTTTGCTAGGAACACCTCCAAGTGGTCTTCACAAGGCCTTAGATGCAAGGGCAGAATCCCTGGTTCAGCCACCACCATCCTGCAGCAGAAGCTGTAGGTGGCCCTCCCCATACTGTTATTTCCACTTTTCTTTTCTTATGGAACCCTGATTCCTAGCTCCATGCTGATTACACCCCCCCAAAAAAAAAGATGTCCTAGTTGCTTTTGTTATTTTCCCAATTCCCCCTGGCTGTCTCCCCTTGGCTGTCTCACCTTGGCTGTCTCCCCCTGGCTGTCTCCCCCTGACTGGCACCAGCTACACCTGCTCTACCCCTACAGCACCACCCACAGTGTCTGGGCCCTCCCACATCATTTAGTAAACAAGAAAACATCCCACAGACCAATCTAATGGAGGTAATTCTCAGTTGAGAGTCCCTCTTCTCATGTATGTGTAGGTTTGTGTCAAGTTGACAAAAACTACCCAGCACAATTTCATAACAAACAGTGTGATATCAACATTTTATTGCAGCATCATGATGGTGGCTCAGGAGCTGTAAGCTGGTCATGTGATCTGGCTATGGCATAGACTGCATGGGGTAGAAAGTTCTTCTGGGCTGTGAGGAACTGTACTATCTCGAATCTCCCCGCCTATGGGGCGTAAGAGGAGCTGGAAAACCACTAGTCAGAGAAAGGCCAGTTTCTGTTGTGGGTGGAAATGATGGGACCATGGTAGTTGTTCTGTTCATTCGTGGTTTCTTCTGACAAAACAAAAACCAAGACAAAAATCCGCTTATAAGAAATTAATATATTAAAAATCACATAGCTATTTTGTGTAATAATGTGTTTAAGTGATAGATATAGGGTGAGAAGGATTTCTAAACAAGACCTTATTATTTTACATTTCGTTCCCTTCTTACCAACTTCTACTTCTTCACAAGTGTATGGTACTCAAATGTAAATGCTGTATTTCTCTATGCATGTATGCTGTCAGAAGAGGCTTCTCTATCACTCTCTGCCTCTCTCTGGGAACCCAGAGTTTGCATTCTCATGTGTAGTCTGGAACCTAGCAAGAGATCATCCTGTCACCATCCATCTCAGAGCTGAGGCTGCAGGTCTGTGGGGACACCCTTTGTGTTATGTAGCTGCTGGGGTCCCCATGATTATGGTCAGAAGAACAAGACACCTAATCTGGAATTGGAGTTATGGATGGTCGAGAATCACCGCACCAGTACCGGGCATTGAACTCAGCAAGAGTGACAAGTGCTCTTAACCACCAAGGCAATTCTCCAGGTCCCAAACAAGATCTTTTTAAAAATGTTTTTAAAACTATTTTTAAAATTATAATTATGCAATTTTAAACAAGTGTTCTCTTTCTTTAAAAAAAAATCCTTTTGAGCCAGGTGGTGGTGGTGCACACCTTTAATCCCAGCACTGAAGAGGCAGAGGCAGAGGCAGGTGGATCTCAGTGAGTTTGAGGCCAGCCTGGTCTACAAGGTGAGTTCAGGACAGCCAGGGCTACACAGAGAGACCCTGTTTTGAAAAATAAAAATGTTTTTGATAGATAATATAATTGAAAACTGCCTTTAGCATTTTTCAAGAAATGGTACAGTAGTTCTTTTCTTGAGGGAGTATTTTAGTTCTTAGATGATAACTTAGGGTTTTATTAGAAAGCTATGAGCCAGAAGAGTACCAGTACAGTGGTGACAGAGATATCAAACACTTCTCATCCCTGCTTTCTCATTATTTCCCCAAGCTTTCACCCTCTCCAAGCATTATAATGGTGGAAAACCGTGAATAAAAACTTACACAGAGTTTTAAGAATTCACAGAGCCTCTGGCATGGCTGCAAGGAAATGAAAAAGAACAGTTACAGCTCAGTTGATTATTAGGAAACTCTAAGTTTAACTGTGTTTTTCAATGTTCTGAAGAAAACCCTTTTAAGAAAACAATTACACGAATTGCTCCAAGACCATGGTATAGAAGAGGAGGGAGTCAGGAGGTAGCTAGTTAAGCAATGTAAACTTGATTCTCCAAATATTAACTCTAGTGAAACCTGTGGGGTTCCTGGGAACATAACACATCATCTCTTCTCCTTGTAGGCCTCCGGCCTCAGGTACTGTGAGAAAGTCTTCTACCACCAAGGTTTACCCTCATCCCCACCCCAGGCTCTAGCTGGCCTAGAATTCCTGTTGTAGCTCAGGCTGACCTTGAACTTCAATCTTCCTGCCTCAGTCTCCCTGAGTGCTGGGATTACAGACCCATGCACCACACTCTTCTCCTCTGTTCAGACTATGAAAGAAGAAGCCACGTGGCAGCTGTCTCCAAGCACAAACCTGAGCTTGCCAAGATGATATTCCAAGTGTCTTCAGGAAAGTGCAAAGCAACAGGAGAAACATCAAGAGGTCACGATCAAAATCCGTGTCAAAGACAACCACTCAAAGTAAATACAAAGAAGCTGGGTGTTGATGGCGCACGCCTTTAATCCCAACACTCGGGAGGCAGAGGCAGGTGGATCTCTGTGAGTTCGAGGCCAGCCTGGTCTGCAGAGTGAGTGCCAGGACAGGCTCCAAAACAATACAGAGAAACCCTGTCTCCAAAACCCAAAAATTAACTAACTAACTAAATAAATAAAGAGTTGGCCATCAGCTTTCTTAGCAAAAAAGAAAAAAAAAAAAAGAACTTTACCAATTAACATAAGTCCTCTAAAGGGCGCATATTATGTCCAACTTCAAGAGGGATTTGAATATCATAATAGTGTCTAACAAAACTATGGTGTGAGCCATGACTATGTGAGAGGAAGCACTCTGGTAGAAAATAAAGATGTGAAACAAAACATTTTATTACTTTCTGACTAATTAGTTACTCAACTGACTTCTGTTTATTTATCTTGTGTGTGTGTGTGTGTGTGTGTGTGTGTGTGTGTGTGTGTGTGTGTGTGTGTACAGTGGGTGCACATGTGTGTGGAGGCGAAGACACAATCTCAATGGCCATTGCTCATGAATGCTGTCTACCTCATTTGAGGCAGACTCTCTGATTGGCTTGGAGCTCTCTAAACAGGCTAGACTGACTGACCAGGGAGCCCCAGGGACCCACATGTCTGTTTCCCCAGCACTAGGGTAACAAGTGCGTGCCACTACACCAGGCCTGTTATATGTTTCCTGAGGATTGAACTCAGGCCCTCACATGGAAAGCACTTTGCTGATTGAGCCATCATCTCTCCAGCCCCTATTCTTTATTTTGACACATGATAACTATACTTGATTATGGGGTAGAGTGTAATGACTGGATACATACATATAAATATATAATGATTAATATTAACATTTCCATAGCCTTAAACACTTTGTTCATGTTAAGGCCCTTCAGACTCCTTGCTAAATTTGTAAATGGAATTTCATGGCTTATATTATACCCTTATATATAAAAGAGAGGCAAGGAAACAAGCTGCCTGTTGAGAGGGGTCATTCACACAGAGGAGGTGAAACAGGCCCTGTGCCTATGATCTTAGCAGCCCTGGGAGATCTGTCCACTGGGGATTCTTGACCCGCAGCCACCGACGCAGAATCCCTAGCTATCCCATCCCCGCATGTGCCTGGTTTTACCTCCAATTGTTTAGGTTTTTTGTTTTGTTTTGTTTTGTTTTGGGGGGGATTTCGAGGCAGGGTTTCTCTGTGGTTTTGGAGGCTGTCCTGGAACTAGCTCTTGTAGACCAGGCTGGTCTGGAACTCACAGAGATCCGCCTGTCTCTGCCTCCTGAGAGCTGGGATTAAAGGCGTGCACCACCACCACCTGGCTGAATTTTTACCTTGGGGGAACATGTCTAATTATATTAATATGACTTTATTTGAAAATGCCAACTACTGTCTCTCTAAATCATATCTTTCTAAAGAGGAAGGGAAGGAGTGAGGGAGGAGAAGGGAAGGGTGTTTTACCTTCCAGTTTAAGAAAGGATAGCAGAGAATGATCTTGCCAGGCGATCTTGACACCTGTGAAAACAGAGAGGCAGAGAGCATGGAGACGGAGGGCATCCATAGCGATAATCACAGTCAAAAACCTGGGAAATTAAATTTGACTTCCTTGAAGGATCTGTCTTTTGTTAGGGGAGCGATCCTGGCAGGGTGCAAGATTGGCCTCTCTTGTGTACATACTCAAGAGACACAGAGTAAAGAGAACAATCGAGTAAATCTTAGCTGTGTTAGTCTCAGTTATAAGTCTTCCTAAGACCACAGTGTCTTGTTAAGAAGAGTAAGAAACAACCCTCTCAAGACTGCCAATCATTTAACGTTGTGAAGGGACCAGCTTCCCTTTTGGCAGCCATAACAACCGAACACATGCTCTATAACCTTGTCTTAGTCACTAGAAAGTCAGATGCCTGCCTCGAGACAAGGAAACAATCAGAAGTTATCTGGGGGCACCATGCTTTACGACCCTGGGAGTGCTTTACAGACAAGCACACAGCAATGACACACAAAGCATAGCAACCACCCTGGGAGGGCCTATGGGCCATAACAACCAGTTGGCCAATCAACACAGGGCAAGCCCTCCAAGGCTGGAGGCACACCAATCATGAGCCTGTGTGTACACCTAGACACTCCCCTTACGCTGCCCTATAAGATCTCTCGGGAGGCCCTAGGAGCTGTCTTTTGCTAACCATCCGCCATGGCGGTGGGTGAAAGACCCGAGCTAACATGGCGTTAGCTCGTTAAATTACAATAAAGCCTCATGCAGTTTGCAGCAAGCTCTCGAATCGGCCTGGTGATTGGGGTGGCCGCGGTCGTGGCCTGGGACCCCGGATACCTGAGTTTTCCAGGGATCTAACAGTTGCAGCCCTTTGACGTAGCATCTGTGTGGGTGTGCTGGGCTGTATTCGCAGCCGCCCTGGGATGCTCATGGTCTGCAGCTTTCAGGTTGGACACACCTGTGACTCTGAGTGACAGTCACTCTCTTTCATCTGCTGTGACAACTTGCAGGCTAGTTACTGTGTCTCTTCCCTCATTGGTGGTCCTCAGCCTGACTGCTAGTTGAAGAGTCAACTGGGAACTTGTGAACCTCCTGACACTTGTCACAAACCCTAGACCATCGAAGCTGGATTTAGGGGAGTGGTACCCAGATGTCAGGACTTTTTGAAGTTTCCCAAGGGAGTCCCGAGGGCAGCCAAGATTGTGAAGCATGGCTGAGCCCTGAGAAGAGCTTCCCATCACTTGTTTTCCTAGAAAGGTCTTTGAAAAATAGGTTGGAAGAGCTACTTACTCATAGGTCCAGAGAAACTCCTAAAATGGAGATGCTGCTTTGCTCCTGGGGTGATCTGCTGTCCTTTTACCAGGACTTAATAGCTAGAAGCTCAGAATGTATACACGAAAGCTCATTTGCAGACATGGACAATAAGAGGTTACTTACTGCTACAGAGTGAGCTGTGAGCACAAGGAAAGCCATCACAATCATCACTTTCATTTTTCAACTTTATCTACAAGTAAAGAAAATGTATGATTGTTGTTAGTAGAGATTGAGTCTCACTGTGTAGCTCAGGCTGGCGAAAAGAAACTCGTGATGCCTCCTCCTGCTTCTGTTCTCTGCCTGCAGGTGTACATGCCGACTTGAGTAGTATTTAACTCAAGAAATATGGAGGGACTGGAGAGATGATTCCGTGGCTAAGAGCATTGACTGCTCTTGCCAAGGACCCAGGTTCAACTCCCTGCACCCACATACCATCTCACAGACTATAACCCAGCTCCAGGGAATCTGATGTCCTCTTCTGGCTTCATCGGGCATCAGGCATGTATGTGATACAAAGAACACACAAAGGAAAAACACCCATACACATACAAAATTTAAAAAATAACATAGAAGGAGAGACATGTATAGAGCAGGGTGCCAGGTCAGCAGTCACTGAAGTGGGAACCACAGAATTAAAGACAAAAGATTTGGACATTCTGCAGGATGTTACACAATTGGAACATAGATTTTGACTTGCATGTCTTAAGAATAATATATGCTCCTGTGCTGCTGGTGAGATGGTTCAAGCCTATAGGCTTAAGTTGAACCCATGGAACACACTGAGTGGAAGGAGACAATTAACTCCTGACCACAAATGATCTGTGGCATAAGTACACCCATTTATGCACGCGCGCGCGCGCGCACACACACACACACCAAGTAAATGTAAAAAAAAATGCTTGTTTATTTTGTTTACTTGTTTAGTTTTGGTTTTTTGCAAGTAAATGTAAAAAAAAAATGCTTGTTTATTTTGTTTACTTGTTTAGTTTTGGTTTTTTGTTTTTGTTTTCAAGACAGTGTTTCTCTGTGTAGCGCTGGCTGTCCTGGAACTTGCTCTGTAGACCAGGCTAGCTTTGAACTCGCAGAGATCCACCTGTATCTGCCTCCTGAGTCCTGGGATTAAAGGCCTGTACCACCACTGCCCAAGCACAATTCGTGTTTCTAATTCAGGATCTGCATCATTCAAGTGCACTACAAACATTAAACCTCTATTAGGACTATCTCCCAATGAATTTAAAAGATCACCATCAGTCACATCTACTATTCTTGGAATCATACACTTGTCATTTTGCTAACTTCTTCTGATTCTTATAATGCCGTTATGGGGATGGGTATTAGACCTTTCTGCCCCTCTATGTAATGATGTTGACTGTTTGTTTTATAAATCAATAAATACATGAAAAATAGGGTCAAAGTTTTCCATTCTCTACTGTATTATGACAAACAGTATTCTGATGCTTTAAGTTTTCATGCAAATACCACAGTGGGGACTGGTGGCATGGCTCAGGTGTTGAGTCTTTGATATAGAGGATCCAGGTTCAGTTCCCAGCACCCACACGTGTCTCACAACAGTCTATAACTCCAGTTCCAGGGAGCCTGGCACATAGGACATCAGGCATGCATGTGGTACACAGACATACATGTAAACAGGGCACTCTCACATAAGTAGTAAAAAAAAATACATATTTTTTTAAAAATTCTATCTTATCTATGGAGCTTTGTGACTGTTCAACAATTTGTTTTTAATCATTAACTATTTTTAAGTCCTAATATAACCTAGAATAATTATCTGAGTAACATTAAAATACATAGCAAAATAAAAAAAAACTTTAAAAATATATGAGAACACATAGGATAATATTTAAAGAACCAAATAAAACACTAAGATCATTAACGTGAGCTAAAATGCTACTGAGGTAAATTCTTAAATTTGAAACCATATGTTTTATAAGACAAAGCTATTTATGATTGAAAGAATGTTACCAGTAGGGCCAGGAAGAACGGAGTGTCGGATATTCTTGACTTCCTCTGAAGCCTCGTTTTTAGATGATCTGGATATGAACAGGCATTTATATGTGAAGGATCACATTAAAAATAGTTCCAATGACCCTTACTTACATATGATGAGACAGTTCCCCAAAGTCCACACCCCATTCTTTAAGGGCTAAGACACTGCTTCCTGTTTGGGTAACACACTTTTGTGGTTATTTGTGACACATGAGTAATTGTTTCAGGATACAGGGGTTTTGTTAATAATGAGAATTGCAACAACTAGAAAATTACTGTAATGCCTGAGTAGTTCAGATCAGGGTTATATGTTGAGAATTCCAACCAAAAATGGCAAAAGGAATGTCCTGAAATGCATACGGATGTGTATCTGCAGGGGACTTGCTCCGGATTTCACTGGGTGGGGGGGAGGCTTTGCACAGGCATGTGGAGTAAACATTGTACAAAGGCTCCCTGTCCAGTCCAAGCTCAGTGTGGCCATGTTGCCTCCAGGTACTGGAGGGTTGCCATCCGGACAAAGAACCCCAGAGCTCTCCCAAGTCTGGGCCTCAGCTGACTCCAGGTCACAAGAGTAAAGTTTATTCATCCTCCTTCAGCAAAAAACTCATTCTTCTCTCAGCAGAACTGAAAAGATAATCACAGCTGGATGGTGGTGGCACCTGCCTTTAATCCCAGCACTCCAGGAGGCAAAGACAGGTGGACTACAGAGCAATTTCCAGGACAGCCGAGGCTGTTACACAGAGAAACCCTGTCTCCAAAATCCAAAAAAGGGATAGTCACTTCCTTTTGCCATGGCCCTAGAAGCCATGACCTGGGAGAATGGAGTCTTAAAATGAGGCTGATAAAGCCTCATGCAATAGCCGACTTTACTCAGCATCAGACAGTTTATACTCTGAGGGTTACAAGGTCTTTTGACCAAAGTTCACATGGCTTCAGGTGTGTACAAATTTAAGGATAGGCTGTACTTGGAAACTCTCTTGAATAAGGAAAGTAAGTTAATGGGTAATTTAAAGGAAGCCCTCTCCTGCTACACTCGAGGGGCATGAAGACACGTTCCAAAAGCAAAGCCATGTTTAAAGGAACAAAGGTCACAAGACTTGTCTTGTATCCTTGGGGTTTTCTCACAAGTGCTCAGAATTCTCACACAGTTCCATCCTTGGATCATATTTCAACATCTTTCAGAAGAAGCTGTCCACTCGCCACTCTCCCTTTGAAGGTCCCTGCAGGTGAGTCCACTGTCTGCTACACTTTCATGATAATTTAGTTGAGTCACAGCCAACTCAGTACCTTGTCAAGCCTCGTTCCTTTTCACAATATTTTCTTCAGAGGAAGCTAAAGCACTGGTAACTATGTACATCTAGATAATGGGGCTCTGGTGTTATATCCAGACCTGGGTGAGGGCAGCCAACGCAGGAGTACTTCCTCTGTGCTGCCTCTTTTGAAGGGGCAGGTGTGGTGTGATCAGTGTAACTTAGAGCCTAAGTGACCAAATCTTTCAGTTTTAGGGAAATTGAATGGTACAATTTACTCAAGTCCAGGAGTACTTCCTCTGTGCTGCCTCTTTTGAAGTGGCAGGTGTGGTGTGATCAGTGTAACTTAGAGCCTAAGAGACCAAATCTTTCAGTTTTAGGGAAATTGAATGGTACAATTTACTCAAGTCACTGTTGTTTTCCTCTCTGTGGATGGAAATGAGGACACGGCCACTCCTAAGTATGGTTGAGGAAAAGGTTTTACGAGGGAGAGAACAGCCAGAGGCTTCTGGAAGGGTCCAGACTGAATCCGGCCGTGAGAGGAGGGGAGAAGGGAGATCCAGAGAGGAAGAGGGGGATGTGGCAAATGGACCCAAATGGACCAAGAGACTAAGAAAGAGCCCGGGAACTAAGAGAACCAAGCCAAATGGCTAAGTTGTATAGGGATCAGAAGCTGGAGGAAGGGAATTGAAGCCCAGCCCTTGGGAGGAGAGGTTTAGGGTAGGGGTTGGATTGAGAAGTGCTGGTATCACAGGTACTGAGGGATGCTGGGAGAGCTGGCCAGCTTCACTTTGATATGTTAATAGGCACTTCAGTTAGCCATTTGTTCCAAGGTTTCTTTGAAACCTAACAGTTTGTTGTTTATTTGTTTATTGAGACAGGATCTCACTATGTAAATCTGGCTAGCCTGGAACTTGCTATGTAGACTAGACTGATCCTCCCAAGTGTTGAGATTACAGGCTTGTAACACCATGCCTGCTGGCTCTCTGTGGGTTTTATTTAGTTTTAATGGATTTAGACTGGTGGCAGGGCCGCTGAGTGCTTTTTGCAGAGACGGGAAGGCAGCTTTCTTGGAGCTTATTAGATATGACTAAGTCCAGGTTATTAATGTACATTCCTTTTGAGATAAAGGAAAGAAGCACATTTAACTTTTGAACAAAATCCATTTAAATAATTTTATTGATTTTTAAGTGTGTGTGTGTGTGATGGTATGCTCATAATAGTGTGTGTGTCTTGGAGACTAGAAGAGGATAGCAGATCCCCGGAGCTGGAGTTACAGGGAGTTGTGAACCAAATATCCATCAAATGATGACTGGTAAGTAAATGTGACCTATGCACACAAAAGAATATTATTCCCCCATCAAAAGGAGCAAAAATGTCAACACATACCACAACACTGGATGTTCCTTGAAAACACTGTATAAAGAATAAAAGCAGCCAGACATGAAATCTCACATATCCCATGGTTCTGTTTCTATGAAATATTCAGAAAAGTGAGTCAAAAAGAGACAGTAGATTGACAGTGACCAGGAGCTGAGGAAAAGAAAATGGAGAATCATTGGTGAATTTTGGATTTCTTTTTGGGCAGTGGGAATCTTTCTGAATTAGTAGATGGATGTTAAAAAAATGTTATGAATTGAAAATTAAATACATACAATTTTTCTTTAAGAAATATGTAGATGCTTCCCAAACACTAATCTTAAAAGACATGAAACAAGCCGGGCATTGGTGGCTCACGCCTTTAATCCCAGCACTTGGGAGGCAGAGGCAGGTCGAGACCAGCCTGGTCTACAAGAGCTAGTTCCAGGACAGCCTCCAAAGCCACAGAGAAACCCTCTCTCGAAAAAAATAAAAAAAAAAAAAACCCTATAATCCCAGGTGGGATCAGGTATTCAACATCATCCCTGGCTAGTGAGTCAAAGGCCAGTCTGGACTATAGGAGACATTATCAAAACAACAAAACCAGAGTTTGGTACATTCTGATGTGCACAGTGATGATTGCCAAGTGCCTTTCTGTAAAATCTCTCTTGCTTGCCCACCAAAACTTATGGCTTTAGACTATAAAACGGGAATACAAAATAGACCCGGGACCAAAGCTTTTCGGTGCTGCTCTGCCTTGGGCCCACCCCAACATCTGCTCTCTCTCTGTCACTCTTATGGGGGTTGGATTGCTTGGTCCAGGATGATTCCTGCAACACATAAATCCATTGGTTTGGTTTTGGTTGGCGTTTACTGACTGTGCAGCTCACATGCAGTAAGGCTGGGACCTCCCAGCTGCTTGCATTTGCTGATAGGTAGCAATGACAACCAAAGGAGGCTGGTGTTCCAACACAGCACCTCAACAGTTTCCAATATTCCCTGTCATTAAAGATGGCAAACACAAGCCAGACACACACCTTTAAACCCAGCAGTTTGGAGGAAGAAGCAAGCAGCTTGAGGTCAGTATTGTCTACATACAGAATTCCAGGATAGCCAAGGCT